AGTCAACCTCTGTACTAAAAATACTGCTTCCCCCCCCAAGCCAGACAACTTTGACACTCTTCTCTCTCTCTCTCTCTCTCTCTCACACACACACACACACACACACACACACACACGTGCTTCAGGCTCTTGCACTGAATCGCCCTGATCAATAATTTAGAGGGCTGTCAGAGGACAGGGAAATGTGCCTTACAGGAAAGCCCTGTGCTGCTGGGGCCAGACAGAGGCTAGGAACTGGGGCTTTAGAACCTGCCATGCTGCCCTTCACCCTGGGCTCCTGCCTTGGAAAGGAGAGGGAGAGAGAAAGGATGGGAGGTTAGAGCATAGGAGTAGAGGTGAGAGGCCAGCCCTGGGTAAAGGGTGGTTTGGGGAATACTAAAAGCAGAAAGTGAGACTTCAAATCTACACAAATGGGCCCAGCATTCTTCTATCTTGGAGGGCACCTTATCGTCCTAACCAGGGATATGAGGGGAAGGTGTCTGCTTGAACCCCAGGGAGAGGTAACTCCAGCCTGTCTTGATTTCTGGAAAAGAGGAAGAGTTGGGGGTGGATAGAGGCAATACAGAAACGCAGAAAGGCAGAAGAGAATTCAGAGAGGACCAGGAAAGCCAGAGAAAATAGAAAGGGAAGAGGAGAAGAAAGAACAGAAAAGGTAATAAATAAAAATTAAAAAAAAAAAAAGAATGAGAGAAGTGAAGGCTGGGAGGTAGAGACTGAGGAGTCACAGAAGCCAAGAACTAGACAGATGCCAGAAAGAGAAGAGAAAGTAGAAGAAAACAGAACAGAGAACACAGATCTGCAGTCATGGAATTTTGAAAGACATGGACAGAGAGAGAGGATAGTCCAAGCAGAAGAAAGAGAAACAGAAATGGGTGTCCTGTCTGGTCCAACCAAGACTCTTGTGCCTACCTCTGGAGGAAAACAAAGATGGAGAAACTGACTCTCCATCAAAAAGATTGATACTGAAGCCTCCAGACCTGAGAGGCACTAGGCTCTTAAAGCAAATTTGCAGGGGGAAGGCAGGGAAAGATGCGAAACTCCAGGAGGAAAACCAAGCCTCCCAGGTCCATGAAGTCCTCCTTTGACTTCAGAGCTGCGTGTGAGTCAGGGTTTGGGATGGCACAGGGGTGCTAATGTGGAAAGGACGGTGCTGGCTGCTATCTGCTGGAGGAACTTAACCTAGGCACTCACCCCAGGGAGCTGCCTCCCTGAGGTGCCCGCTAAAAAAATCACCTCCTGGGTTTGGGGAATTGAATACAAAGGATGATGGGAGTTCTGAAGCAGACACCTAGTCAGTTTCAATGTCTATCACTATCAAAAGAGCCTGGGATCCCATGGGCAGGGGCCCTGGCCAGAAACGGAGCCGTCTCTACCCAGAAAGCCCCTCCCCAGAGAAAGTTTACATTTTGACCGACCTCCATAGTAAACTCCTTAATTAGACCCCAGACCCTCCCGGAGAAACCCCTGGATGTCTTTCTGTCAACAGAGTTCCCAGTTCAGCGACACCTCGGACTGAAAAACAGCTCTGCGCAGCAAACAGTGGGTGAAAGTTTAAGGGGGAATAAGCGTGTAATAGTCCCTCGCCAGACCTCACACATGCTGAAAAGAATATTTACAGCAAACTTGCCAAAGTAAACGACCCCGCCTACCCACCATCCTTTCCCCTTCCATCCCACCGCCCCTCCCCCCCCCCCGGGTTTTTGTAAACTCCAGATAAACACCATTAGGTCACAAAAGGGTCGATCTGCCCCCCTTTCGAGTGGGAGACAGAGGATGCTCTAGGGAAAAGTGGGAGCCTCAGAGGCTTCCTGGGGGAGATTCTTCGGCAAGGGGGGGCTTCTCTGCCTCTTGCGTGGCCTGACCTGAGGATAGAAGATTTGGTTGCGTGCGCGTGCGTGTGTGTGCGCGTGTGCACATACATTTATTCTGAGGCTCCTCCTCGCCCCTTGCCCAGTTTAAAATCCACATTCATACTGTTCTTCACCTTAAACACTTCAGACATCCCAGATTTGCAGAGATTAAAAAAAAAAAAATCAGGGCTACAATTAGGTGAATACTCTTTGCAAAAGACGGAGGAATATTGAAGGGATACCAGAAGTTCGGCGCATCCTCTCGGATTCAAATTTTGGCCTCCTTTTCCCGCTCTTTTAAAGCACCGTTTCTCAGGCTCTGCCCAGGGGCAAGCTAGGCTGCTTCAGTATTTCCCCGTCTGTCTTTTGTTGAACATGAGGTGGGGGAGACAGACCGAGAAGATCGAGGGGGTATGCATGGAGGGGGGTAAAAAATGACCTTGGTAGAGCCCTCAGCTAGAGCCCAAAAGCCCGGGCCGTGGTGCGCTGGCCTACAAGTTGTCCCAGGCGCCAGGCCTGGCACAAGTCTTCGGAACGCGCTAGCCAATGTTTAACCCGAATGCGGTGACCACCAGGCCGCTTTTGTTTGTTCGCAAATTAATCACCCAGCGCACGGCCGGCGCCAGAGTGGGTTTATCACCCACCGGGAGGGGGGCGCGGCGGCCCCGCAGAGACAAAGAGGAGTTCGCACCTTCCCGCTTTTGATCCCCAGTTACTGAGGCCTCCCTGCATAATACGAGCCTCCTGGGGCCGAGTCTGGGAGGTCAGTCATAATTGGCGGAAGTTTGCAGACCATTAGCAAGATGTCGACATTTTCGATTCAGAACCCCACAAACTTTCCTCTCCCGCCTTCCTCTCTGGCGCGCTGGAGTGGCAACTGGGGTGACCCCAGGGTTAAGGTGGAGCTATGGGCAAAAACAGGCACGTGAGAGAAGGGGCCGAAATCGCGGTTAAGTCCACCTCCACCGTTGAGGCCAAAGGCAAGTCGAGATATTTACAAGTGAAATCAGCAAGCTCCCCTCCCACACAGTCTGAAACCGAAGGGAGGCCAGCATGCGGACGACCGAGTGAAATGTCTCTCTTCCTGGGCATCTGGACGCTTAGGACACCGATTGGGTGGATGTGGGTGTGGGTATGGGTGGGGGGGTCATCTCGTGCTTGCAGAATTACTTTCCTTCTCTTCGGTGCGTAGGAGCAGAGATTGGCCGGCGAGTGCAGGCAAAACCAGACCCCGGGTTTGGGGCCGCTGCTGAAAGCACAGCGGTGCGGCCCCAGGCTCCGGCAGCCAGCAGAGTGGGGGAAGGGCGGGTTTCTGCCTCCGGAGACTGGTGAAAACCCTGTGGTGACCTCGGTGGTCGGTGTCAGAAGGGGAAAGGCCTGGGCTTTTCGCACCCTCCGGGGTCTGGCCGCCAGGGACGCGGGAGGGGGCATCGTGAGCCGACACCCTGACCCCCCGCCGCTCTTGCTCCATCACCGCAGAGAAAGGCCGAGAGAACGGCCAGAAGAAAGACAGACCGAAAGGGAGAGAAAGGGGCGAGATGGCAAGCCAGACGGAGTTCGCAGAACCACTCTTACTCTCTCTGGTGACTTCAGGGAATTCTTAGCGCTGGCGCCAAGCGCTCTTAACCATGTGCGTCAAAAATGCGAGGCTGGAAAAATCTCGTCGCCTCAAAAGTTCCGCCCCTATCTCGGCGCGGTTGGCCCACAATGGAACTGCATTTTTCACCCAACCCCCCCACTTGCTCCCACTTCGGAATCTGGGAGCTGGGGGTTTAGGGGGTACATGAGGGCTCTGCTGGTTACCTACACACAGTCACACACGTAACAACCCGAGGCTGGCGGTTCTTAACCCCCTAGGCCCCGCAATCAGTCCTTTCTTGGTTCCCAGCTTAGGAAGGGTAAAAGAATACTGTCCCCAAGACGTTCCTCGGTCTAAGCACGGATGGCCCGACTCACTGGCCCCTAGAATCGGGAAATGTGGGTCTGGGGAGTCCTCTGACCCGGACAGGGACCTGCGGTAACTGTTACCAATTCGGCGACAGGTCTGGTGGGTAAGATCCGGTTTGCGTCCCTCCCCTTCACCCTTGCTGAGCAAACCCCCTCCCACACACACACACCTGAAATGGAGCCAGTCACCTCGCCTCTGGGGTGGGGGCGTTTCACGGTTTGTTTTACAAATTCACCCCCGACTTCTGGCGAGATAAGTCCCCGGGTGGAGAAAAGAACTGAGGCACCAAGAGATAATTGCGATGCCTGGAGAAGATACGGGCCTGGAGCACCTCCGCTTACCAGCTCGCCCACCCCATTCCAGCAGCTCCTCACCCTGCCGACCGCCAAGGGGAGGACGGCGGCTGGACGCGGACAGGCCCAGAACCTAGTCCCTCGCTCTGCTCACTTTGTTCAGATACCCCCTTTGCTCTCACATACACATTCAGGTGGAAAATCGGGAGTCCGAGTCCAAAAGGAAGACGAGATCTATCTAAAAGGGCTGGTAAATGCATTTGAAAAAAGCCCGAGTCCGCCTCCGGAGTGAGTTGAGCGCAGACCCGGGACTGCCGTGCAGGCTGGGTCAGTGTTTGCGTGTATGTGGTTTTCGCGGGTGGTTGAGCCCTAGTGGACTGCTGCGTGTTCGCGTACAAATGTGCTGGGGGTGTTTGGGTCTCCGCGAATAGTTTCGGGTGGGGCGCGGTGGGGAGGGAGCCCCCACCCGCGTGGGCTGAGATCTGGCCGCACCCGCGTACTCGGGAGCCCGCGCGCGAGCCCTGCTGCCCGGGCAGACCGGCAACGAGAAACACCCGAGCTCGGGAGCCCTTGAGCGGCGGCCGGGAGGAGCTTGGCTCCACGTGGGGCTGGAGAGCGCGCACAAGCCTGGAGACTCGGCGGCGCTCGCTTCTCCGCGGCGCCCGGCTTTTGTCGCGCCCGGCGGCGGGATGGCAGCTCACGGAAGCCGGGGCCGTCCGCTCGGCTCGCCCGGAGCCGGGTTAAAAGGGTGAACGGGAGAGGGAAACGGCCGCGGCGGCCGGAGAGGCGAGCCGAGCGCGCGAGAGGCGAGCGCCCCTGCCAGGCGCCCGGCGCGCTCTCCGCCTTCCTGGCCAGGCTCGCTAGCTCCCGCCTCCCTCCCCCGTGCTCCCTCCAGCCCAGCCTCCTCCCTCGATCCCGGGCTGGATGACTGAGGCATTTCAGACATGGACTGAGCCAGAGCGAGAGAGCGAGCTCCGCGGCTGCGGCGATCTCTCGATAAGCCACCTAGAGGCGACTCGGTGCGCGCGCTCCCCAGTGGTTCCCGCCCTCCCTCTGATCATGTTGACATATTCACAGGACAGGCAGTAGTACCGTTGCGGCGCTGCGACGTTACAGTTTCCGACACCTTCTTTTTATAACTCGGCTCTATCCCCCAGCACTCGACCTGTGAAAACCACGCCTATGCAGCAACACAATTGGTCCGAAAGCGTCAAAGAGCCAATCAAGAGGCCTCCGGCTCCCCGCAGCCCACAGCAGAGCCCGACCTTCTAGACCGCCGAGCAGACGCCCGGGGAATTCTAGAGGCGGAGGAGGGTGGCGAGGAGCTCTCGCTGGCTTTCTTTCGCTCCCTCCCTCTCCTGGCGCTCCTTCTCCCACTCCGTCTCTCTCTCTCTCTCTCCCTTCTTTTCATTCCCCTCCTCCTCCCCCCACCTCTAAATCCTCCCAGCCCTGCGCGTCTGGACGCAGATTTAGGAAGGGAATTCGCTCACGTTTTAGGACAAGGAAGAGAGGCGCGGGAGCAGAGCACACAGCAAGATTCGGATTGAAACCCAGACACCCTCCGGAGGCTCGGAGCGGAGGAAGGCGGAGGAGAAGGGCGAACGGAAGCCCGCTTGCAGTTCAAGTTTTGATAGCGCTGGTAGAAGAGGGCTTCCATCAGAGATTTTTTTTTTATTTTAAGGAGAGAGACTTTTTTTTTTTTCTTTTTTCGCTCTCTTCGCTCGCAGTTCCAGCCGGTCTAGCGCAACTGCAGACGCCTCCCGCGAGCCGAGGGGAAAGGCTAGAGACGGGGGGGCGGGGGAAGAAGAAGAAGAAAAGGTAAAAAAAAAAAAAAAGTCTCCTAGGAGAGCCGTCCGCATTGGCAACAAAGAACTGGGGGCTGGGGAGCAATCGCCGGGACCCAGGGCAGGCGTGTCTATTTCGAGCCGAGCGGCTGGGCTCCGGCGCGAGTCCAGACCCTGCTCGTTCCCCTCGCCTCGGAAACCGACTTCCAGGAGTGGCTTTTTGGAAACGCCAGACACCGGGACAGTCACCCAAGCGACTATGTCTCCTGATTTCTCGCCTTGCCCTCTTTAAAAGCGGCCTTCCCCTGCCCCAAAGACACTTCCCCCTCTTCACTTTGAGGTGCTTTAGTTGTGATCCTCCCACCGCCTTTTTTTTTCTTTCGCTTTTTTACCCCCTCCAAACTATGCGCTGCTGTTAAAAAAACAAACCAAACCAAAACTAAACAGCAGCTGCGGACTTGTCCCCGGCTGGAGCCCAGCGCCCCGCCTGGAGTGGATGAGCCTCTCCATGAGAGATCCGGTCATTCCTGGGACAAGCATGGCCTACCATCCGTTCCTACCTCACCGGGCGCCGGACTTCGCCATGAGCGCAGTGCTGGGTCATCAGCCGCCTTTCTTCCCCGCTCTGACGCTGCCTCCCAACGGCGCGGCGGCGCTCTCGCTGCCCGGCGCCCTGGCCAAGCCGATCATGGATCAGTTGGTGGGGGCGGCCGAGACCGGCATCCCATTCTCGTCCCTGGGACCTCAGACCCATCTGAGGCCCCTGAAGACCATGGAACCCGAAGAAGAAGTAGAGGATGACCCCAAGGTACACCTGGAGGCCAAAGAACTTTGGGATCAATTCCACAAGCGGGGCACGGAGATGGTCATTACCAAGTCGGGAAGGTAAGCAAGCCACGCACCCTCCCCGCCCCCACAGCTCCCCTAAGCGACTGGAGGTTTCTTTTCTCCTTTTATTTATCTTCTCCCAGAACAGTCGGTTTGCCAGTTATTTGACTTAGAGGAAAACTTAGTACTCCCCCCCGCCCCCGCCCAGAACTGTGTACAGAAAGCTCCCCGGCCTTGCCCCAGTGATAGGAAATTTCAGCTTACCTGGGCGTCTGCAGCCTGTGGTTTTTCCTACCTGGTCTGCATACTGGGTTCTCTATGGGATAGATAGAATTTTTCAGTGGTACACAGACATCTTCTGCAGGAAGAAAGAAAAGCACCCCCATTGCAGGAAAACACTGTGCAAACCTTTCTGGACCATCCCTGTGTCTTTGTAGATGTTGTATTTTTGTTTGTTTCATTTTGTTTTCAGAGAGAAACACTGAACAGCTCTTTTTGTTTGTGTGGTAGTGGGAGGCCTGGCAGAAACTGCCCTGCCCTTTCAACCCTCCAGCCTAGCTTCTGGATCTGGAGGGGGCCTGAGCCTGCCCCCTGCCAGGGTTAGGGAGAAATCGAAGGGCATTTGGGGTTTGTCCATGCTAGTTCCTGTGTCTGTAATCAAAGGGAGAGCTCAACAGGCAACTCTGGATGATTCAGATTGTGTTTGCAGACCCAGCGAGCCAGCAGGGAGACACGTACTGCTGTTTCATGTATGTTATCGACTATATTTTACATACTGTTTAGAGGTCCTGGCCTGACTGAAACGTGCCTGTCATTTAAAGTCACTGATTTTTTTTTTTTAATGGCATTGAAGTCTATCAAGGCATACAGTTGAAGGCATAAAAGGAAAATCCCTCTCATCTTTAGCTCTCTGTCTTTCCAAGCTGAACGAGGCCAAAGTTTACCACTTATCCTCCAGCCCAGAAGACAGTTTCACAGTGATGCATTCCCTGCTCCCTTTTAAGTCAAAAGTACCGAATGCTAACACTTCAGGGAAATAAAGACCAGTTTGGTGGTGAAGTCTTGCAGTTTGGGTCTGGCCCCAAGCAGTGGGGGGAACGTGGTTAGCAGCGAGCTAGGCAGGCTGGTGATGAGGCCTCTGAGTTCACCCCAGTCTGCAGAATTCGTTTGGAGAACTCACCGAAGTAGTTTCATTTCGCCAGCAGCGGGATTACTGTTCCACAGCGGAGAGGGGTCCCGACTTGACATTTCTTTTCTTGATCCGTTTAACATTTTCTCATCCACGGCTGGTGGAAAATTCTAGCCTTGATTAACCAAAGTTGACTAAAATCCTGCCCCAAGCTGTTTAGAACTAGACACCCGCAGGAAAAGACAGAAGCAAGAATTTCCCTCTAAGGAGGGCAACCTAAAAAGTCATACAAGAGACCAAAAAATTATAAAGAAATTATTAGACAATGTAGAGAAACCCAGTGCCCTTACTCACTTGTTTTGAATCTTGGGCTGTTTAAAATTGAGATATTGAAGCGTATTTAATCCTTCTGTTGCTGAAGGAAGCAATTTTGCACCCAGTCGTCCTTCTCTGAACTGGTAGGAGATCATCAATTGTAACAAAGTTTTAAATTTGATTGAAGTATTTTAGCATAGGGGATCAAACCCAAAATTCTGAGTGATTTTTTTTTTCCCGTTTCTTTTCTTCCCTCCTCTCTCCCTCGTAGGCGAATGTTTCCTCCATTTAAAGTGAGGTGTTCTGGGCTGGATAAAAAAGCCAAATATATTTTGTTGATGGACATTATCGCTGCGGATGACTGTCGCTATAAATTTCACAATTCCCGGTGGATGGTAGCAGGAAAGGCTGATCCTGAAATGCCGAAGAGAATGTACATTCACCCGGACAGCCCTGCTACTGGGGAACAGTGGATGTCCAAAGTTGTCACTTTCCACAAACTGAAACTCACCAACAACATTTCGGACAAACATGGATTTGTAAGTTTCACTGCTTGCCTTCCTAAAATTTCCTGTCTTCTCCCTAGCAAAGGCAGTGCTTTCCGCTTCCAGGTAAAATCCAGTTTCTCCCTCACTCTCAGTTACAAAGCGTAGAAAACTTGTTCGATCCACAGAGAATTCCGGGGTGTTTCTCTTCGGATAATAGAAGGCCTGGCATTCTAAATTAGTGAGGGGCGAGAGAACTTTATCGGCTCCTGTTCTGTGGCGAGGCCAGGTCTTGGTGACTGCTTGACCTGACGGGAAAATTAAAAACCCATCGTGAAGATGGAAAATCAACATTAAATTTAGATGTTCATAAAGGATTTGTTTTACGATATCATAATTCTATTTTGAAACCAGTCATAGTATTATTGTTTGGGAGGGTTTTAAAGTTCGAAACCTCGACTGCGTTGGTGAGACGGTGTGGGTACAGATTTTGAAAGATTTTTCTTCCCTTGGACTAAAAAGGAATCGGGCTCAGGTGAAGGTCAGGTTTACCTGAAATGAGACCTAGATCTCCCGGTACAAAAATTGCATGTGTTTGCGAGTATATGTATGGATTTAGCACGGGAGTCCCTAGAAACTTTTCAGAGAACTTAGATTGCTTATAAAAGTCAAGCAAGGGACCTTTTGCCCCCTGCCCCTACGCCTCCCCAACATTTCAATAAAATAAACAGAGTGATAAGTGAGGAATAAGCGGAAAGATTAGGCCCAGGAAGACATGAATGGCACGGACATATCTTCAGCAGGCAGGAATTGCATTTGAAGCCCTTGATTTGATTAAGGCATAAATATTCCTCTCTAGAGTTCAGCCTTTCAGGGCTTTAAGTGGATTGGGCTCATCAATTAGTGGGCGCTTAAAGGACTGAATCATTTTGTAAATTAAAATGCATGTTTTTCTCTATCTTTTAAGACTTTGGCCTTCCCAAGTGATCAAGCAACGTGGCAGGGGAATTATAGTTTTGGTACTCAGGTAGGCTAGGGTTCAACAAAGCAACCTTAGATGGTGAGGGTGGGGGGGGGAGGGCACCCTGTGGAAACTGAGGAGCAATTTGGATTCTCCAGAATGTAACATGTGGGGAGCTGAAGATTCCCACCGAGGTACTCCGAGAAGGTGGGCTCCCCGGTGCCGTTGGTGGGGTAGACATCAGCCTGGCAGGGGTCCTAGGAACGCATTGGTCCCCCGATAAATCCTCCTGTGATGTGTGTCTCTCCTCTTCCGGCCCCTGCAGACTATATTGAACTCCATGCATAAATACCAGCCCCGGTTCCACATCGTGAGAGCCAATGACATCTTAAAACTTCCTTATAGTACTTTTCGGACATACTTGTTCCCCGAAACCGAATTCATCGCTGTGACTGCATACCAGAATGATAAGGTAACCAAAGTTGCTTTCCTTTTTAATGGTGATATTAACACCTCCCCATCCTCACCTCCATCCCTTAAGCTGCTTTTGGGTGAGGATGAGAAAGTTACTGGAGCATTGCCATGGGAGTCTGATTTTTCTTTTGTGATTTGACCTTCAGTGGAGCTTGGGGGAAAGCGGGCACTGGCACATAGCAGAGGCAGAAGGAAAACTAAAAAAATTTAACCAGCTAGGGATCCAATGCTGAGTGGGGAGAAAAAAAAAAAAAGGCCAAACTAACGCTGCCAGTGAGAAGCTCCTGTAACCACCTTAAGGTTGCCTGCCCCACCCCCACCCCGAGCTTTCCCCTGTCTGTTTCAAGGTTCATCCTCTTTGCATTCAGGAAGAAGGATCCAGAAATCAGGTTCGAAGGGAACCAGCTAAAAATTGAAGGCAAAACCCAGTAAGGATCTTGGGAGGGGAGTCTCAGCGGAGACCAGATTTTCTCCCCTAGCCAGAAATCCTGAGTAGCTGGTCTGGTTTTTATTACCTTTTATGCTGCTGTGTTTTTTATGGTGTGTGTGTGTGTGTGTGTGTGTGTGTGTGTGTGTGTTTAGAAAAAACCTATTCTGATCACAGGGTCATGCTAATTGAGTTGTCTGAGTCTTTTGAGATGAGATGACCAAAGTCACCACTTCATTTGAAGGCTTTTTTTTTCCCCTCCCTGTGCCTGAGGCCGGGGATTAGGAGTACCCCCAAATGGAAGAGCAGACAGCACCTGGTATGTAAGCTATAGTGGCCTGAAGGTCATGGGTGTGTGCATAGAGCAACACAGAGAAAGTTCTGCCAGGCCACCAGTCTCCAGCATGGCTGTTAGCAGGCAGTTACTGGAGGTAGGGGTGAGGGCGGCAGGGGGCACCTGAAGACCCCTGCCCTTCAACTTCTGAACCCTGGCCCTCAGTGCCAATCCAGCTCACCGGACAACGCCGCCCTACATTTTGATTTCACTCTCACTATGGGTGGGTCCTCTGTGGCCTGCCGATGGGGTGTTCCAGGTATGTTTCCTTCATCTGAAGACTAAAGACATCAGGGTCTCCTCTCCCTGAAAGAAGTGCAGACGAATTGACTCCAAGAGCAAGAATCCATCCAGGGGGCCCTTTTTCCACCTCCAGCAAACTCTGTATACATCATCCCCTTCCTCTGCCTCCATCCCTGGAAAGGGATTTGAGAGACGACATACGATTTTTCCTTAGTGTGTAAAATGCACAATCCTAGACCCAGTACCCTGTGAATCTAAGTTGTTAATGGAATAATAAAATATAGCATTTTTGATCAAAGCAGCCACGGGCCTTCTCCACCTAATGGCGGTGGCAGGGGCATATAAATGAAAACAAATGTTTCCAGCGGTCATTCTGTCCTTTTAAATCTGTAATTGTCAATATTGTAATTCCTCAAACATCCCCAACACCCAGCAAAAAAAAATCAAACCCAGTCCAGCACAAAGGTAGTGAAACCCCATAAATCATTTTATTAGATGTACAGAAAAAGTTGGAAGGTGTGCTGTGTGAATGTGTGTGCACGTGTTTGGGCAGGAAATATACCATAACATATTTTATGATCAATTGCACTATATATATATATAAAAATCAAAATGAAGGCATAATTTTAAGATCCACAGGTTGCCCTTTTGACAACTTTTCCATTTCTAAGCCCATGCTGTTGGCTGCCCAGGCAGGATCATTGCAGCCCAGAATCCCTGGTTTGGCCTCCTATGGGCAACGCCAGCCATGGCAGTTTCCTTTGGTTTTTCCCCCCAGGCCTCCTCAAACTTCTGCTGTGATCTCCTCTCTCTCTTTAGCCTGGCATGTCCAAATGACTTCTCCAGTTGGAAGTCAGATTTCGCGTGGATCATTTGAGTTGGGGGACAACACTCTGGGAACATTCTAGAAAATGAGGCCAATGTTTCTTTCTTGCTTGTGTCTCCTCTAGATAACTCAGTTAAAAATAGACAACAACCCTTTTGCAAAAGGTTTCCGGGACACTGGAAATGGCAGGAGAGAAAAAAGGTGAGCTGTGGCAGTCATTTCTCAGACAATTTAGAAAATCACTTTTCTGAGTCCTAGGACTCAGCTGTTAAAAGTGGGATGCAGACCCTTATCTTGAGAAGGCTGGTGGAAGGGTGGAAAACAATGTACTCCCCCTTGATCAAGAATCTACAGATTTCACTACACTACTTTTTCTTCTTTCTCCATATTACCTTAAAGAAAGTCAGCTAGGCCACCCCCATAGATGTCTCTGGAAGAAAAGTATCAGGGATAACAGATTATATACAGACGCCTATTAATTCCTAATTAATTTAGGTTTATTCTGGGCAGGTCCCAGGAAAGGACTAAGCCATTCACAAAAACGCTTTGGAATTTTTGCAATCTTGTCTTGCAAATACCCTCAGACAGAAACTAGGCCCCTGGAGACATATATGGCTCCCTCCTTCTGTGGGGACATGTATCATTTTGCATTAAGCTGACAGCTGGATGGTAAATAAAAGAAGCTCTCCCCTCCTCCACTTGCTTTCAAAGAATTTTGAAAATCTAGAAAATCAGCCCCAACTTTTAACCTATCCCCTGGGGGAGTGGGTGGGCATTAAAAAATAATTTCTCACCTGGAAATAGATTCTTTTTTAGTCCGATTAATGTGTTGGTGAAATGATTACAGTAAAGTGCACCATGAAATAACCACTTCCTCCCAATCTTAGCAACCAGTCCAGAGCTGGTCTGCTGTTTGTGTTCACTACTTTGATTCCTCTCTTCTCCTTGGTCTGTGAGGCTGGCTGCTCAGCGGATCTCTGGCCAGCTCCCATCTCCCCTCTTGCTCTTGGCTTTTAAAGAGCAAGCCCCAGCCAGCCGCCCCTTTCCTAGGGAAACCCTCTGGTCTGGAATACAAGCCTTCTTCCTCCCTCCCTCCCCCTGGGCTACAGTCTTCAGCCCGTCCCCATCCCTCCCCATCCCCGGGTCCAGAGCAAGGTTTGGATCCCTGTGGCCGCCCCCGGGGCATAGAGATTTCTGGGAATTAGTGTCATCCCAGATGCAGGGCGGGTGAGGTGTGTGTGCCCGAACCTTTTGGAGAGGGGGGAACATCCTGTATAATGCTGGGTGTCGGCTTCTGCCACAGAAAGCAACTCACCCTGCAGTCCATGAGGGTGTTTGATGACAGACACAAAAAGGAGAACGGCACCTCAGACGACTCCTCCAGCGAACAGGCCGCCTTCAACTGCTTCGCCCAGTCCTCCTCCCCGGCCGTGTCCACCGTAGGGACATCCAACCTCAAAGGTGAGCCTGGCCACCTCTGACCTCAGATTTCTCCACGTCTTGGAGGCTTGAATGAAGAGTTGGGAGCTGGGAGCATCCTCCAGGGAACCTGCCCCTGCAAAGCTTCCGATCCTTCTAGAAGTTTGTAAAACAAGCCAAATCTCACCAAGGGGGATCAGGGGTGCCCCCAGCCCCTCAAAGTTAGTCTGAGCTCTCAGATTCCTTTCTCCCAGACATTGGCCTGGCAGGGATGAGGGGGTGGTCTCTCTTCCTGTGTCCCCTCTGGGGGTGGGGGGCTGGAGCATCCCTCTCTGTTGTACCTCCAACCAAGTAACAGCTGTTTTTTTTTTTTTTAATATCTTTGAACTCTAGCTTAAAATGTGTTGGACTGGTGAGGGGGTGAGGGGGAACGCAGGTGATTCTCTGCCGCTTGGAACAGGGAAGGGGGCTGAGAAAAATTCAGCTCTAGAGCCACCCTAGACCTGTGATAGGAGATGGAGCCCTGAGAGTGGGAGCTGGGGAGGGCAGGGGTGGAAGGGGAGGAGCTGTCCAGATCCTCAGTTGATCTCCTGTGTTTAAAGAGCAAGAACTATTTATTTGGAAAGACACACATGCTCTCAAGGGGAAGAAACCTGTTTTTTAAGTGAAATAAAATGAAAGTCCTTTATGTCTTCAATCTGTTTAAGCTTTAAACACAAAATGGGATTGGTTTTTCTTTTTTTCTTTTTTTTCTGGTAGGACACCCACAGAGGGTGTGGTGAGAGCAAAAGAGAATCTATGATTGTCTCCAGGCAGTGAGTGGGCACCCCCCCCCCCAACCATCACCCATCTCTGTCTGCAGAGACAGAGGCAAACAGACAAGGCTCTTGGAGTGTGTGTGTGTGTTGGGGGAGGGGAGTTCATGTCTGCCACTACGATTCAGACCTCAGGGTTCTCTCCAAACAAGTCTTCCTGAAAGTCCACAAATCTGTGGAAGGGACTGAAATCAATCATTAAGGGAACAAAGCTGGTAACCAGAAGGTGTTCCTGCCCTGAGATTTAGTGTAAATCAGTTTGTTTTTTTTTTAAGTGAATTTGCAATCCAGTGGGGGGACAAGGACAGTAAAGGCTTTGTCTGACCTAGTAGATCAGTCCACATGTATAAAATAGTAAAATTCCCTACTCCGTTGGGGAGGGTTGCAGGGAGGATTGCAGCTCTAGTTAGAGACTTGAAATACATGACTAGCTGGTGGAACCCTTCCTCTAAAGTCTGAGGTATTGTCACACTCCCACTTTGCAGATGAGAAAACTGAGGTGCAGAGAGGTTAAGAGGCTTTCCCCGGGTTGCACAGCTGGGAAGTGGCCGAGCTGGGGATTCCAAGTGGGGCATTGGAGTTCTGCTGGCCCAGGTTTTAGAGCTAACGCCCTTCCGCCTGGCTTGTCTTCCCCCTCCCGCGGTAGATCTGTGTCCCAGCGAGGGGGAGAGCGACGCCGAGGCTGACAGCAAAGAGGAGCACGGCCCCGAGGCCTGTGACGCGGCCAAGATATCCACCACCACGTCGGAGGATCCGTGCAGGGACAAGGGCAGCCCGGCGGTCAAGGCACACCTCTTCGCGGCCGAGCCCGGCGGGCGGCCCCGGGACAGCGGGCGGCTTGACAAGGCATCGCCCGACTCGCGTCACAGCCCGGCCACCATCTCGTCCAGCACCCGCGGCCTGGGCGCCGAGGAGCGCCGGAGCCCGGGCCGCGAGAGCGCGGCCACGTTCAAGGCCGCGGAGGAGGCGCGCGCGTTGCCGGGCAAGGAGGCCTTCGCGCCGCTCACCGTGCAGACGGACCCGGCCGCCGCTGGAGGAGGCGCGCGCGCTGCCGGGCAAGGAGGCCTTCGCGCCGCTCACCGTGCAGACGGACCCGGCCGCCGCGCACCTGGGCCAGGGCCCCCTTCCTGGCCTCGGCTTCGCCCCTGGCCTGGCCGGCCAGCAGTTCTTCAATGGGCACCCGCTCTTCCTGCACCCCGGCCAGTTCGCCATGGGGGGCGCCTTCTCCAGCATGGCCGCCGGCATGGGGCCCCTGCTGGCCACCGTGTCCGGGGCCTCCACCGGCGTCTCGGGCCTGGATTCCACGGCCATGGCCTCGGCTGCCGCGGCGCAGGGACTGTCGGGGGCGTCGGCCACCCTGCCCTTCCATCTCCAGCAGCACGTTCTGGCCTCTCAGGTATTTATCAGCTGCCTCTGTAGCCCCTCCTTCCATCCACTCTCCTTTGCCTGCCTTTTAGAACCAGACCCTCACCGAGTCTCCCTGCCTAAATTATTACTACTAGGGGCAAGGCTTATCTCATTGATTCATCATAAACTCATACTCCCCCCTCAAAACTTAAAACAAAATTTCCCCTAAGTTAAGGGCTGTGTCTAGCAGAGTAACTAGGTGGTATAATAATAGTAACTCTTCACAGCACTTCCTTTGTGCCAGGCACTCTCTTCTCAGTGCTTGATCTATTCTAACTTTTTCGGTGATCCTATGATCACCTCCACCTTCTAAATGAAAGAGTAGAGCTCAGAAATGTTGAGTAACTTAACCAAGATCACACGGCTGGGTAGGTAGGTGGTGGAGGTAGGTGGTGGACCTCTCTTAGCCCTAGGCACTCAGGCTCTAGGGGCCTTTTCCAGGGCTGTGATTTTAGCTTCAGAGTTGAAAAGTCTCTTAAATGTTTTACAGCCAGCCCTCCCCCAAGACTAGGGAGATGCCGCGGCCTGGGATTGGGAACTGACTCCCTGCGACTACTTCCCGGCCCCCTCCCATTCCCCACTGCCAGCAGGCCAGCCTTCTCCCCAAAGGGTTAATAGTTTGTGCACACGTGGGACATGTCAGAGGACAGACTGGGGCTATGGCAGGCCTAGCAGCCTGTGTAAGGCTGAGACAGCTGTGTAGGGGCTCCCAGCAGCTGGAGAGACGTTTCAGGCCGCTGGAAGTGCTCTGAACCCGGGCAACAAGATTCTATGGGGTTTTCTGCACGCCCTTGCCTTTTGTTTTGTCTGAGCACATTCGTCTCCCTTCCCTGAGCCAAGAGGCAGGACTGGCTTCCTCCCCTCTGGGGAGGAGGGAACCAGAAAAGGCTTCTGCCCTTCCACCATCCCTCCCATCTCTTGGTCTAGCCCTTTCTGGAGACCTCACTGGTGGGGAGGTGACAGGTGGCTGAGGGGCTGCCTGGATCAACAAGTAGTAACAGTACTTGAGGCAGTGGGTCCAAGAGAGCTAGCCCAGCCCAGGCCAGGGCCCCAGGATTTTAATTCTACTTCTGCCACTTGCTAGTTGACTGACTTCCTATACCCCGGGGGCCTACCTCAGTCTCTCCACTTGTAATATCTGGGGCTCGGTGATTTCTCTGTCTCTGTTTATAGCAAATACCCTTTACTCTCTCCCCTTCCAACCTGCCCTTTCCCCTTTTCCTTTTGCCTAAGGATCTTCCCCAGATTTATTTATTTTTTTAGAAACTTCTAAAATGGAATGGGAGGGCTGTGAGGTGGGGCAACAAGAATGGGGGGGAAAATGTATGTCCAATAGTTTATGCCCTCTGCTTTTCAGCAGTTACTTTTGTGGGGTAGACTGTAGCCCCATTTAACAGGTGGAACAACTGATTGATGGGAGAATTTCCAGTCTTGATGGCCAGGCTCCCTGTGTGAAGCATATTGCAGGCAGCAGCAGCTCATTTCACACCCTCAGAGTCCCCCAAAAGAATATGAATTGGTGAACTTTTCCGTTTTTTGCCATACAAGAAAGCTGAGGCCTAGGGAGTGAGTAATTTGGCTTAGGGTAACACAGCTCAGATTTGGGTCTAGACGCAGAAGTTGGAGCGTCCTGCATCCTATTCGCCGCCCGCCCCTCGCCCGCAACACCCCAGGGAGTGAGGTTAAGGACTCGTCCACGGGGACGGTGGCGGGTGGAGGGGGGCGTGGAGGAGGTCGGCTCCTCCCCACCGCGCAGACCCCGCTTGCTCACTCTGCCCTGTTGTTCTCCTCGCCCAGGGCCTGGCCATGTCGCCTTTCGGAAGCCTGTTTCCTTATCCTTACACGTACATGGCCGCAGCAGCTGCCGCCTCCTCGGCGGCGGCCTCCAGCTCCGTGCACCGCCACCCTTTTCTGAACCTGAACACCATGCGCCCGCGGCTGCGCTACAGCCCCTACTCCATCCCCGTGCCGGTGCCCGACAGCAGCGGCCTGCTCACCACCGCCCTGCCGTCCATGGCCGCCGCCGCTTCCGTGTCCTTGTCGCCCAAGCTCTGCCCGGAGAAGGAGGCGGCCACCAGCGAACTGCAGAACATCCAGCGGTTGGTCAGCGGCCTGGAAGCCAAGCCCGACAGGTCCCGCAGCGCCTCCCCGTAAACCCCTCCCCAGAAAAGTCTCTTCATTCCAGTCCAGTCCAGTCTGCAGTGCACTTTGTTGGATGTCACATAAACCGCGGGCCTGCAGTGAGGTCAGCCCTTTTTTGTGCAGCCCTGTCTGGGAAAGGGGTGCTGGACTCCCTGGAGAGAATGTGCTAGAAACAGGCCCTGTCTTCTTGGCTGTGGTTTATACATCCGGGATCTGGCTCAGAAACGTCCCAGTTGCATTGAGCTGTTGGGGGTAGGAGTTCAAGCCTTGGCGGCCAGAGCACCTCCTTGGGGGCTGGTCTGGAAGCTGTGGGAAGATCCGAGGTAGCCAGGCCCCAGGAGGGGAGGTGTTGAAAAGTTTCTCCCCCAGTGAAGATCTATATATATGTGTGTGTGTGCGTTTTTTTCCTTCACCGTCCCAAGTGGAAACACAAAATTGAAAAAAAAAAATACTGGGGACAAATGGATACATTAACATGATTCTGTTCGTGAAGATTAAAAACTTTCTAGTGACGTGCTTATCAGTTCTAAATAAATTACTGGGCAGCATTGTTTGGGGAGGGAAGTCTCTGCCATCCTTGTTTAGTCTCTATTAAGGAAATCTGTGTCTTTTTAATAATTCTTGTGATGTTTTAAGAGCTCTAGGTCTCTTGCATGTTCCACAGTAATGTATTTGTGGGTTTTATTTTTGAATGCTTGCTTTTAGAGAGAAAATATGACCCCTTATCTTTTCCTAGATCATTGACAACCCCAAGGGGGATGACTTAAAAGGAAGGGATGGGGAAGATACCAAAAATGAATTTATTTTATCTAAGTTCTGTAGCAGGATTCATGTTGTCCCTCTGGCAGTTCTTTTCTGTTTCCTGTATATGCAATAACAAGGTTTTTAAAAAAAAATAAAGAAGCGAGACTATTAGACAAAGTATTTATGTAATTATTTGATAACTCTTGTAAATAGGTGGAATATGAATGCTCGGAAAATTAAACTTTAATTTATTGACATTGTACATAGCTCTATGTAAATAGGATTGCAGCTGTCAGGTTTTGTGGTTTTGTTTTCCTATAGTCAGTTTTATTTCAAGGTCACAGGATCGCTTTTAAAAGTAGAAAACACACTTTCTGCACCGACACCAACACACTTTTCAAAAGAGTCGTCTGCAAAGAAAATTTCTTTTTTAATGTCCAAAACTGGGGAAAAGTGCTATTTGCCTATTTTACCGAAAACTGGGGAGGTGGTGCCACTTCCTAGCCCCACCTGAAATTCCTAAGAGTGTTTTTGAGATTGCTTGGGGAGGGTGGGGGGGAGGGGAGTGCAGAGGCTGTGGTTTGACTTTCTAATTTTTCTTTCCTATTTGTATTTGCTAGTCTGATTTCTTCAAAACAAAGTGGAATTGACTACTTACTGTCTTCAGTGTTGATGTTTTGAATTGGTGCCTCTAGAGAGAAATATTCACAGTTAAAAAGTCAGGTGCTGAGAGATGGTTTAAAGACAAAAATTTCATGAAGGTATATTTTGTGTTATAATTGTTGATGAGTTCTTTGGTTTTCTGTATTCCCCCCCCCCCTTTAAAAATCTCGTTGAAATTTCAATAAATTTTTATTGAAATGTCTTTGGGCCTCCTGTTAAGTGTTTTGTTTAGGGACCTTTCCTGAAAGTGAAGTTGTCTTTCTTCCCTAGCTTCCTTTTTAACCCTTCTCTTTGCCTTTAAATAATTAAGACCGCCCCGACTGAACCCAAAAGAGATGTCACTCAAGTTACAAAGCTAAAAACAAAAGTCCCTTACTCGGCCGGCGGAAGGGAGCCGCTTCAATCTGAAATTACTTTTCCTTGAAATTAGGAAGCAAAACGAGAGGCGGAAGGGGGGCTGATTAGAATTGGATAGACTCGCAATTGCAGATACTTAAGTTTTAATGGAAAAGGAATGTTCGCTCCCTAAGTCAGTGTTTCCCAGCCGAATCCGATCAAAAATGAGTGCGAGGACCGCGAACGTTTTCGTTTGGGGTTCGCTCTTTCTCTGCGCTTCAATCTGAGCCATCCAAGTCAATTTTTTCTTGCCCCAGTGTGCAAAAAAAAAAAAAAAAAACACTAGCAGAATCTCCCCGCGGCTAGCTCCGGCCTGGCAAGGAGCAATCCTCCAGGCCGCCCGAGAAGGGGACAAACTCGATGTCCCCTGGAGTCCCCGGTGTCTCAGATTGGACTAGGCTGACCCAAGGTACCCCTCCGAGTCCTCAGCCCGGACTGTGCGTGCGACGCGCGGCCAGCTCTGCGCAAACTTTGTGCCCCGCGAGGGAGGAGGGCAGTTTCCAAAAGGTAATTCCAGGGCACATATTTGACCCCCTCCCAGGGAAAAGTCACCAGGAGGCTGACACCCTCCTCCAGTTCTTCCCTCCAACCAGCCTCCGGGGCTGTTTGGGGAGTTGCCTTTTGAAGTTCGATTTATCTTTGAAACATTCAATAAAAAATGGTGAGGCCGTGACAGTCTCTGGTCTCCTGGCCTCCCCACCCCCAGCCTCGCCTCGGAGGTGTGTGTAAGTGAGTGTGCTGGGGCGGGTCCAGGCACGTGGGGAGCCCACAGCCTCTCCAGCGCTGTCTCCCAGGGTGGGAGGGAAAACCACCGGGGTAGGAGGTGGGTGCGTGGGGGAGCTCTGCGGGGCCCGGGGATCTTTGGGGCGCTAGCTCCCCGAAGGGCCGGAAGATTTCCAGGGCGCGCGCCCTAGGCGCAGAGGCTGCAGCTGACCGGGGCTGTTTATTGACCCAACTATTAAGTGCAGTGCCTGCGCCCCAGGAAAGTGGCAGTCAGTTGGGGGTGCCCGGGAGGCGCTCTCCCTAACCGGGGTGGGGAGAGGCAGAAAACAGCTTCGGCCCCAAGAGGGAACGAATGCTTTTCTTTCTCGGTCCCGATTTGCTCACCTCCTCCCCACCGCACCCCACCCCCCAAATTCTCGGACGGTGCTCAGACGTGAGGCCAGCCTCTCTACCTCAGTGCTTCCTTTTTTTTTTTTTTAATTTAATCTCCCGTGTATCTTATTTGTATATAGTGATGTTAATGAGTAACTCTTGTGGCGCTGATGGACGGGGGTGAGCGGCTCGCAATCTCTCTGGATTTCGTTGCCTATTACTCACCTGGCGCCGGTCGCAATCTCGCCGCGGGCTTTATGGTGGCGGCGGCCGCTGCGGAGGCCACTCGGGGCCGGCGCCTTGGCCTTTTTTTTTTTTCCCCGAGCTTCGAGTGCCACCTATCTGTCTGGCCCACGAATGCGCCCCGGTGGCGGCCGCTTTCTCGACTCCCCGGAGCTTCCCGAGTTCCGGAGCTGGGGCGTTTCACCTTTGCCCCTTCTCATTCTCTCCACCCCCAGCCCGGGCTCCCCTCCTTCTTTGCCCCCCACCTCAGCACACCCCCCACACCCCAGCATCGGAAGAAGCCGCCGTCATCTCTTTCCTGAATATCACTTTCACTCCTGTTTGGGCCTCAGATGAGAAAAACAGTCCTTCCCGACTCTGGGTTTCCAAGAGCCTTCGGATATTCAGTGAAGGGGACCCTCTCTCATTATTTTCTCGCCAAATACCTTTCTGATTCGTGTAGAAATCTCCACTAATTCCCCCGACCCTGTTGGAGTGGGCATAACCAGAACCACTTTATCGGTAGATAATGAGAGAAAGGATCCCCGCTCCGCAGTACACGCCACTCAGAATCTCCCCTGGACGCAACTCCCTTGTGTCTGATGCGCTATCTCTTCCCTACTTTACAACGCTGGATTTTTTTTTTTTTTTTTTTTCTGGTTTCTACCCTGGTCGCTTCTACGGGGACGAAGGGCACCCGGCTTGTGGGAGCAGCAGTCCGTAAAGGGCCCGGGCTGGGGTCAGCTACCGCAGCCTGCTGGGCCGAGCGATTTCGTGATTTGTAGATTTAAGGTGACAAATGCGGGTGCCAGCCTGAGCCCTTCGGCCCCCGCCCCTTGGGAAGGTCGGCTCCAAGCCTGGCTGCGCCCGGGCGTCTGAGACTGGCGGCGGGGGAGGGGGCAGGCTAGTTTTTTTTTTTCCTTCTTTTTTTTTCCCGCTGTGCTCCGAGCCGCGGGTGAAGGCGTCCGAGTTCCTGCTGACCTCCCGGCGCTAATTGCGGGGGCCGAAGGGCGCGCTCTAGCAGAGGCCGGGGTCACGACCCCGCGCTCCTTCCTCCCGGGTCCCAACAAGCTCGATGGAACCGCGTGTGCGCTCACGGGCGTGCGTGTGCTAGTGTGTGTGTGTGTCTCTGTGTAGAGCCTCCCTCTGAATCTGAGCTGTCCTAGAACCCACCCTTCCTTTGTGGGGCAAGTTCCCGGCGGGTAGGCCCTTCCAAAAATTCCATCCAAAAAGGAAAACCCTGGTGCTGACCTTTCCTAGGAGCCAGCAGACAGGCAGCCGCCTTTGGGCTCTTCGAGAAGCTTGAAACGCTTCGCGTCCGTGCGCTTTTCTGCCTCGCTGGTTTCCAATTTTGACCTCACGGCAGCCAGCCAAGAGAGTGGCTGTTAGGATGTAGATGCCAGGCCTCGATCGCGACCTGGCTCTTAGAGACAAAGCTCTAGAAAGTTCGTACCTATAGGTAACTCTTTGGGCGTTCTGGGGCCAGGAGCTACAGGTGTTAGAAGTAGATGCGTGTGCGCCCGCGTGGACTTGTACGTGCCCCACCAGGAGATGTCTCTTCCAATTTGTATTTCGAAGTTGCTGCGCAAGACAGTTCCGGATGTAGATGCCTTTGGTTGTTTTATAATCAAGATGCGTATAATCAAGATGTATATGTTGCAGATGTCGGCGTTCAAAGTACACGGAACAACAATAATAAAATGAGCTGGCAGACCGGGGCACGTGCAAGAGACAGACACTGGGTTCAGCGCCCCACAAAAGAGATCGCCTTTAATGCCGCCTCACAATTAACCCTATGGTGTGCGCGGACGACCTTTAGCCTTGTTTTACGAAGTAGGGGGAACGGAGGCTCAGAACCGTGAAACCACTGACCCAGGAGCGCCCGGGGAAACTGTGGAGCCAGCATTTGAGACCAAGTGGGCCCGGGAATCCACTTGAACCACTCAGTCTATCTAGTTCAGGTGGAGGTGTGCGTATATCCCGGATGTAGAGAAATCTATGGGCGTGTGTGTAGTATTTTGGTGTGTGTCTCGCCGGGTTTTCAGACGAGAGACCATTTTACATTTCTTCGGGCGTCTGTCCGGCAGGGCAAAAGTGCAGTTTCTATCTCGGGGTCTCATTCTCTGGCCCTGTCTCCCGGGTCAAGGGAGGAGACCGCACGCTTGGGGCCCTGGTTCCCAGGCGGATGCAGCGACGGTGGGCTGGGGACGAAACCCACTTACAGACGCACACGGCGGGGCACGCCAGTGGATACCGTGCTCTGGTCCGGATCCAGAGGGACAGCGCGTTACAATCGCGCGGTCGTGCGCCGGGGTGACCACGCTAACTCCAGTTTCCCTCTCCCGCCGGGTGGGAGGGCGAGACTCGGGCTTTTCTCCGCCGCCCTCGGGTCCTCACCTGCGACCCTAGCCCTCGCGATGCTCCATCTGCCCGGGCGCCGAAGCCGGGGACCGCAGGTGGGGACACTCCCGGCGCTGGCATCGTTTTCTGTTCTTTCCTGATTCGATCCTGATCAACTTCCAGGAACTTAAGCAAATTTACTTTCTCTCATTCTCTGAACTCTTTGGCCCCAGGTGGGAGCCAAGGGCTTGGCAGGTGGGGAGAGGAGAGAGAGGGGACTACCGAGGGCACGGCCCCGCTCAGGAAAGGGGGTGTCTGCTTAGGGAACAGCGTGGCCCAGGTTCCCTAGCCTGGGCATCTGGAGGCCCCAAGCACCCAGGGGACCGAGGCAGGGGTCTGGATGGAGGCTGGGCGAGGACGTGTCAGGAGCGGGGGTGATGGGTGGACACAACACCCCCACCTTCGGCTTGGGTAGGGAATAAGGACCCCTCTTCCGTGCGCCGCAGATGCAAGGCGCTTTCTGCCCCCGCGGCTGGGATGAAGTCTGGCGGCCTGTGTCCCTCGGATCCCGCAACTTTGAGCCAGTTCTGGGTTAGGGTGGGGGTGAGAGTTTGGGGTACGAGGCGGGGGGAAACTTAGAGAAGGGACATTGGCCCCGTCCGAGCCGTCCGGCTCTCGACAACCCCTCGCCCTCCCTAGTCCAACGATCCGAGTCAGTCAGTCAATTTGAGCTTTTGAAATGCGATCCCCCGCGCCACTTCGGTTTCCCGCTAATGACCGGGGCTCTGGTTTCGGGCTAGCGAATGGCACCCGGAGCTGAGCTGCTTCTCCCGGGCCCGCGCCAGCAACTCCTCCCGCCGGCGGCCGGCGCGGCAGGCCCAGGCCGGGGCGTCCCCTGGCTCCTTTCACGGTCCCCAAAGTGTCAAGGACACCCAGGCACGGAACTGACGCTCGGGGCACTGACTTGCTCCCGCTTTTGCTTTTGCGCTTTGCCGCCCACCCCAGTCCCCAGCACGGACTTCTTCGACGTCACTTTTTCTTTTTTTTTTTCCCCCCTTCTTTTTGTGCCGGACGGAACCAGGCACCCCTCGCTTTCTCGGGAGCTCCTGAGGAGCGCCAATTGTCGGGGGCAGTTATTTTAGTCGCTCC